ACACTCGATGAGGGAACTGGTTATATTAATACGCATGCATGCAGTTACCGACACGAGGCAAGTTTGCACTTTTATTTCAGAAATCGTGGAGTTTGATGTACAAATTTTTAAACACAATATAGGATCGAAATTTGTTCGGTTAGCAATTTTGACGTTGCCCTTTTCGCTGATTATAGAGGAGAGAGTGCAATATAGCCAACAATATGATAGCCACTGATAAAGGAAGGAAGGAAGGCAGAAAGAAGCAGAAAAAGTAGAAGAGCGAAAAAAGCAGTGTCCTGAACCTAAACTTAGTAAACGGTGATGTCATCTATCTTGCATCAACAGATATTGTAGATCACTTCTCTTAGGAGAAGAAGAACTTTTAGGAAATCAGAAGTGAGCAAATCAGAATCGCGCAAGATGGGGATATTAGATTCATGTAAGTGAAAAATTTACTTGAAGGACCGTTTAGGTTGAAAATTTGCAAGAATATCTACTCCAACAATCTTCACAACAAAATCAATCACAATTTTCATCCATCACAAGCATTAAAAATGAGAAAAGAAACTGATGAAACCTAGACGTTTGCCTTGAAACTTTATGTTATGAATGGCGCTATCCTTATCACAATAAAGGGTAAAGGTAAAGAAGTACCTGAGCGTGGGTTCAAAAGTACAAGTTAAAACTTACGCAGTAATCCAGAAACTGTTTCTGCGGACGTGTTATAAGGAGATGAGGTAGTGCCAATGCTTCCAAGAGCAGAATCCGGGCTGGTAGGTGTTGATTTTGTTGAGGTAGATAACAATACATTCAAGACATCCAGCTAAAACAAAAAGAGAATGAGAGTATCAAACAGAAAGGTATGATGGATAGAGCTACGATGATAGGAAGGACAAGCATTTTTAACATATAACAACCAAAACGTGACATTTGTAGGAAAATTTCTGGGAAATTCAATGAATTTCTATATTATGTAATTAATAGTCAACAAAGAAAGCAAAAAGTTTACAAAAACAGGCTATATCCGGTAAAACACGAGCAAAGCGAATTTGTCTATTCGAGGATTCATGAAAAGAATCGATGAATAACTTCTGAGGAGAAGGAAAAGATATCATCAACACGATATTTTCTACCGTCTTTAAAGTCCCCTCTTCCTCCCTCCCGTTTCGCAAAGCAAGATGTTTGGCATTTTTCATATGGTTCTTGTCGCCCAAAAACTAATTATAGAATCTCAATGATGGGGAGCAAGGAATAATAAACTTACCATGCGAATCGACTAGTTTTCATTAAGAAAATGAGCGTTTATTAACTCAGTAGTTGTCGAAATATTACTAAATCTACTATTCACTAGGAATTATACGCAGCTGTAAAAAGAATTGGCAGTGATATTGATGGAAGTTTACGTATGCATGAAAAGCAAAAATATTCTTGCTTCCCAGAGACCATTAAAAAGATTACACTAGACAAAAACCTCCATTTCCCACCTTATTGTAAGCGGCAGCCCAGTCAATTGGTGTCAAACCTCGGTCATCAGCAACCATTGGATTTGCTCCTCTATTTACAAGTATAGCTGCACCATCACGCCAACCAACGGCAGCTGCTACGTGGAGAGGTGTTACTCCATTTAGATCTCTGTAATGATAAATTGTGCCATTTAGAAAGCTTTTTGAACATATGCAGCATGTATTATTAAGAGGATTAAGTAATAGTACTAAACTACCCAAAAGGACCATTGAGGTCAAGAATTACTCAGAGCAATTAATGAGCGCACCAACATTCACCATTTGTGACCCCTAATTGAAGGAAAGCTGGGCTACGGAAAAAGCTCATATAATAAACATATTGCAAGAATTCAAAGCATTGCTGAGCTTTTACTGTAGTAATGAAGCTAATAGGGCTACTTTTTTCTAGGCCAGTATGATGGACGGAAGACCATGATTGATCAGAGCTTAGGGAACAGTAGGCTGATTCCAAGAGTGAAAATTTTCTTAACGCTCACTTCACATCAGGGCTGCACTTGTTCAGCACTCTTCTCAAAGCGTCTTCGCATTTTGAATAGGCAG